CCATTTATTCATAATTCGCATACATACCTTTAGACTCATTGTTAATCTATTAAAATTTTAGTTTTTTCTAATATAATAAGATTATTAAATTGATTACAAATTACAAAAAAAATACACATACTTTTTTTTTTTAGTTAATTTATGACCACTAGTTTTTTTTTTTTTTTTCCTGTGGCATCAGTCGATCAGCACTGGTATTTTATTCTTCGTCTATTAGTCTTTGAGATCTCTTTTGACGTGTCCTTTTTTTTTAACTTTAGTCGTGTGCTTCTCTTGGATAGGAAATTTCTTAGGTGCACGACTTGAATGTAAAATTTGACCAAACTTTATTCAGATAAGTGACCACTGACCAACTCCGATTCTAGAAAACAAGGAAAAAAAAAATACTCCACTTTAAGTCAATCTATTTAATGGGCTCTTAATAATGGGCTTAGGCCTTTTTAAAGTTTTTAACCTCATGGATCAGTTTTTTTTACTTGCTCCACTCTTATCTTTCTCCACAAAAGCTCTCATTCATCACAATCTCTAGGGCTTCGGAAGTTTCTAAAATCCACAAGGACAACAACAATGGCGAATCAAGTTATCTCCGGCTTCAAAGAAACCGCTCAGTCAATCGCCGGAGCTGCTCGTCCTTGGGGTGAATTTCTAGATCTATCAGCTTTAAGCTTCCCTTCTTCAATCGCCGACGCAACCACACGCGTGACGCAGAATCTCACGCACTTCCGAATCAATTACAGTATCATCCTCTACTTTCTTCTAGCAATCGCTCTCATCACACGCCCCATCGCGATTCTAGCTTTCGTCGCCGTCGGTTTAGCTTGGTACTTTCTCTACTTCGCCCGTGAAGAATCTCTCGTTATCTTCGGATTCTCTGTGAACGACGCCGTAGTGACGGTTTTTCTCGCCGGTCTTACGATTGCGTCGCTTGTTATCACCGGAGTTTGGGTCAGATCATTGACAACCGTCGGATTCGGCGTATTGGTCGTGGTTTTGCACGCTGCGGTGAGAGGAACGGATGATCTTGTGTCGGACGATCTAGAATCTCCGTACGGAGCTATGCTTTCTCCCGTCTCCGATGATAATGGTGGCGCTCGTGGCGATTACAGTGGATTGTAATCGTTTTGAATTTGGGGATTGTTTCTAGTTTTTGTTTAGTAAATTTTCTGATTCTTCCCCGTATGAATGTGAATCATATATTTTCCCAGACTTTCTCGAGAAAATGAAACAAGAAAATAGTAAAATCAATCTATTCGATCAAAACCATTTCTATAGATCCAAACAAATCGGTTTTTCTGAATCATACACATTTCGATTTCCATCCAAATGATTCTGAAATCTGTTACCCGAACCGAATTACCGGTTTGTTGCCACAGAGAGACTTAGTACTCTCAGCTTTTGACTGCCAGAGATTGTAAGTCGTCGAGGAAATCTTGGAGGCTCAAATCATCGGTGAGAACAATGTCCGAACCACCGGTATGATCTGTTTTCTGAGTCACTGAAGGATTGAGCTTAGCGAGAAGGAATCGAGCTTGGCTGCCGTGTTGGTCGCACCGTACAATTCGCGGCATTGGGATTCGATCAGTTACTAACTGAACCACATCGATTTCAGGTGCTTCGAGAAGGTTTCGGAAAGTCTCGTGGTTTGCGTCTTTGTGATACTCGAGTTTCCTCCACTGTGCGATTTTTGATCCGTGGTGGATAACCACGTAGAAGTATGAATCGAATAGCAAAATCGCGTCTGCGGTTACTGACCGGATATCGAGGAGGACGGGAACTGGCGGTCCGTCGAATGAATACCGGAGAAGCGTTGGTTGAATCATGATGATTGAGTTTACTACTCCTTCACGGTTTAACATTAACCGAAAAAAACCGGTCTCGTCCGGGGAATTGTTGAAGACGTCAAGAAACTGTGATCTTCTTAGATAGAACATGAACTGAGGATAAAGCGAGAAGTTTGGTGTCAACCTGAAAGACGACGGATCTTCTTGAATATAATCTCCGAACCGTGAAGCGAACTGGATTAAACCGTCATCTAACCATCTAATAACGTCTCTCGCGTAACACTCCTCTGCTCGGTTTATCGCAAGCCGCGCCATAACTGAAGCAGCTGTTTCTTGATCGAAACCGGATGAGATTTCTGGTGACTTTCCAGCAACCCATCGTCTAGCAACCGTTGTAACCCGCTTCCTGACAGCTCCATTGCCATACCGATACCGTGTGATGAACTGAATGAAGAACGCGGAACCAGGTTGCGGTTTCCGATTCTGTTCATTGCTCACTTGAAAGAAGAACGAAACACATGTCTTATTTGTGACAGTGCTCGTCTTCCAGATATATGTTCCGCCTTCACCTATCTCTGTTTCACTCACTATATCGTTCTTCTGTCTAAGCGACACAACTGGACCGAGTGCCCCACATATTCGCATATCCTTAGTCGTCACAACTTCCAAAGACACATCAAAGTACATATTCAAGTTCCCATCTGCATCCCGGCTGAATATATGTCTTAGACATTTTTTGAACTGCTCGGATTCAAATGTCTCTCCCAGTAAAAGAAATCCACTAGACATTTCCACTGCATATCTCAGTTCCGCTGCTCCAACTTGGTCAAGAGAGCACGCAAACACATCGAGAACAGCAGACGAATCACAGAGCCTATTTGCTAGTTTCTTGTAAAACCCGCAAGATTTGTTGTAATAAGGCACTTGACCAGTTATAATATCTCTATGGGTTCTCATCGAATAGTTTAGATCCGAGTCCACGATGATCCCAGGACCCCTTGTCGCAGGTCCTGATGTGAAAACCATAATCCGAGAGCCTGTGGTTACAGAACATCCCTCGAGCAATCCCAAAGCTATCGAACTCGCAGTACCAGTTGACCTATGAGGCCGATGACCTCGTTTGACATTAACCAATGGAACGATTTCTTCAAAAGCAGATGTTAAGTTAAACTCACATTCCGCTAACGGAAGCAAGAAACTCTGCTTCCGAATCGCTGACAACTTTCCATGATGAAACTGCTTCGAATATCCAAATCCGAGAAATTGTTGGATCTGATGAATAAAAAAAGAAACTTTGTCAGATTCAACACAGAAGGAAACACTGCCTAAAGAAGCACAATCTATTTGTAACAAACAATCAACATGAAGCATAAGAAGACAGTAGATATCGGGATCAAGAACAACAAGAATCCTAAACAGAGTACTTGGCTCACATAAAAAGCCTCAAGTCACACACATCAACAAACTTCTAATCATCAAACTAAGTGATTAAACACGAAACAGTAGATAAGAACACATTCAAGCATTTGCATCCCCCTACTGTATCTAACTAAACGATTGCATTTTGAGTTTCTGACTAAATTAAATCCCACCATTTCTACAACAACGAAGCATTCAGAGTTCCAAAGACAAGGTTTACCTGCTCTGGAGGAAGGTCACGTTCGCCATGAAAAACAACAACCTTAGAGCAATCAGAGAAACCCAAATCATAAACCCTAACCATGGAATCGAAAGTAATCAAAGCCACCAATGAATTCTCAGGTAACTGTTCAATCACTAACAGAAGCTCACTTCTCAAAGCCCTTAGCTCCTCCTCCACCATAGATGCATCAATTACGAACACAAACGCAGGTCCTAACTCACTGTAGCTTCCCCCTCCATTTCCAACTGTAGAAGCGAGAGACGAGAAAGATGAAGTGGAAGACATTGATCTCGACGAAGGAAACCCTTGACTAATCCCATTAGTCCAACTCGTAGGGGTTGAAGTGGAGACTGATTTACGCGGCGGAGAGTATTCGACGGCGCTGTAAGTCGGAAAAAGCTCCGCCGGGAGATTAGTTTCTGTGATTCCGACGTAAGAACGAGGGAAAGAGTTTTTGTGAAAACAAAAGGGACAAGACCAGATTCGAGCTTGGTAATCAACACGAGCGTAAGGGTTCAACACTGCTCCGCATCGAGAACAAATCAATGGATCATAAGGAATAGTCGGAAGCTCAGAGAATTGCATCAATGGAGTATACATGATACTTAGAGGAACAACGAGTGATTGACAATCGGATTTTGTAGTCGGCCATGAGTTCCATGACCATCTCAAACCCTCGATCGCTTCTAACTCTAGAAAATCCATCACTAGATCTTCGATTACTGGTTACGAAATTTCGAAATCAAATTCATGGG